GAAAGAGCTTTGCTTTTGTGGGTCAAACCTGTTACCCCAGGTACTTGGGAAGCTGAGTTCAGGAGAACCATGGCTCAAGGCCAGAAAGGGCAAATAGTTCTCAAGACACCAACTCCAAAATGAGCCAAGCAAAGGGACTGGAGGTATGGCTCAAGCAGTGCCAGGAAGCCCTGAGTTCAAACCCCAGTTCCACCCTCACACACACAAAAAAAAATCTCTGAAAGGAGTTTACAGTTTTGCACACTGGAGCTGTGTTGCATGGGGTTTTGCTGATTCTTGAGAAGCTCTCAAGGCAACTTTTGAAAATTCTGGTGCAAATAACTTGGCTTACTCTTAAAAACACTATTCTCTGTAGCAAGCATCCCTTGACTACAAATTTACACATGCTTCTTTCCAGAACAAAAGGAAAGTTTTTAAAACTTTTGCCCTGGTCTTTGCTCCCAATTCTCATGTATATGTGGCTAAGAGCAGTCATCCATATCCATGTCCATGTCATAGCCTGAGAGCTGTGCTGCCTTCAACTCTCCTCCACCAGATGAAGAGATTCACCTCCTATAAACTCAGCCTCTCACAAATATCAGGGAATAGACACAATGTAGACAACTTCTTTGCCAGATTGTCATTCACATGGCCTACAGTATGGTTCCCAGCTGAACCTTGTGGCTGAGCTTTATATCTGATTTCCTAGTGACAATCTGGCCTTCTGAGTCCTCATCAGAATTGTCCATTAAGCTCTATATACAGTGTTCTAGGGCCTTTTTAGCCCACATCTCCAACCCTTTGATAACTCCTTCCTCAATACCCTTTAAGCCATCTTCAATAAAATAAATAGTGGTTTCTCTCCAGAAAACAAGGCAGTCCAGAAGGCAGTGGCACAACACATTTAAGATGTGCTGAAAGAAAAAAGCAAACATCCTGAAAGGATGAAGGAGAAATTGAGGAATTTACAGATAAAAAAGGAGAGGATTTTGGTAGCAGTAGCTAGGCCTTATAAGAAATATTAAAGATAGCCTATAGGCTGAAATGAAAATGCACAGACCTTCACCCAAAGCCAAATGAAGAACACTGGTAGAGGCAACTAATAGGTATTAGAAAGGCCAGTACTACTGCACTTTGAACTTATCACTCTTCTCTTTACATTTGATTTTAAAGTTCAATTTATCAAATGAGTGACAAATCCATGTTAAGAGGAACACAATATATATGGATGCAATCTGTGATGTAGAACATATAAAGGGACTGAACGGAGGAGCAGTATAAGAGCAGAGTACTTTAATACCACTGAAACTAAAACTAATATTATTCCAACTAGGTTGCAATGCATTTAAGATATTCATTGTAATCCCAAAGATAAGCAATGAAAAAAAAATAACTGAAAGACAATCAGAAAAGGAAAGAAAATGGAATCAAAACGGTACAGTACAAAAATTCAACTGAAAGGGCTGTGGTGTAGCTCAGTGGTAGAGTTCTTGCCTAGCTTGCATGAGATCCTAGGGTAAAAGTCTCAGCTTGAAAAATCAAGTAAATCCATAAAAAATGGTGATGCAGCAATGGAAAGAAACAAGCACATAAGACATCCAGAAGCTGAAAGCTGGTGGCTCACATCTGTCATCTTAGCTACTTGGGAGGCTGAGATAGGGAGGTTCAAGTTCAAGGCCAGCCCAGGCAAATATTTCATAATACCCCATCTTCAAAATAACCAGAGAAAAATGGACCAGAGGTGTTGCTCAAGCGGGAGAGTGCCTGGTTTGCAAGTACAAAGCCCTGAGTTCAATCCCCAGTACAAGAAGAAGAAAGAAAAAACTGACATACAGAATACAAATAGCTAAGTGGCAAGAGTTAGACCTTTCCTCACATTTAATTACAAATGGGTTAAACTGTCCAGTTAAAAACAGAGACTAGTAGAATTTGAAAACCATGATCTATATAGGCTGCATTCAGAGAGACTCACTTTGGGTACAAAGATACACAAAGATTGAAAGATGGAAAAACTTGTTCCTTTAAAACAGTATATTTCAATAATGAGTATAGTATCACTCATGATAGATTTTACATCAAAAAGATAGGAAGAAATGTCAGTATATATTGATAAAAGTCTCAGTTCACCAAGATACAATTTTTAAATCATAATATCCCCAAATATATGAATACCCCTGAAATATATGAACCAAGACTAGATGCAATAAAGACTTTAACACATCATATCCAAGATCCATGGGGAAGCAGAAACTTGACCAACACTATAAACCAGTAAGACCTAGCAGGCTGCACAGAACACTGAAATCAACCCCAGGAGGATACACATTCTTTTCAACTGCTCATAGAACATTGTCCAGGACAGATCATGTGTTAGACCACAAGTCTTAATACATGTAAAAAGACTGAAATCATACAGGGCCTTTTTTCAATATAGTGGAATAAAACCAGAAATCAACAACAGAAAGAAAATTGGAAGTTTAATTATGATAACATGTGCAAATCAATATCACTCTTATACAACCAGTGTCAAAAAATGTCACAAAGGAAAAAAGACACCTAGAGACAATGAAAACAAAAACACAATATACCAAAATTTACTCACACAGTGAAATTAAAAGCACTACTCAGAGGCAAATTTGTGACTCTACAACTGTGTTTTAAAAAAAATGATCTCCTCTCACCAAAAATGAAATCTAGACCCAAATCTAGCCAAAGGAAGGAAATGATAAAGATTATGGCAGAAAAAAAATCAGTAAAAGCAAACATTGGTTTTTCGATAAAAACTAACAAATTGACAAACATTTAGCTAGACTAGCAAAGAAGAAAAGTAGAGGAATCAAGTAATAAAATCTGAAACTGAAGTGGGAAAATTGCTACCAACATTACAGAAATACAAAGGATTGTGAGTACTATACAGCACTGCATGCCAGCACCACACAATTGAGTACTCTTTGGTCATAAGCAGGGATGGACACTGATGGGAGTGAGAATGTGGACAAACCTTGTGGACTATGATTCTACTTATAAGAAACACAATTCATAGATATAAATTAGCAATTCATAGAAGCTGATGGATAGGGAAATGGGGAGTTAGTATTTCATGCAAATAGTTTCTTTCAGGTGATGAAATAATCAATGGTGCTTCCCTTTGGGATGTTGAAAAACTGCTCCCTGGCTGAACATTCTGGAAATTCTTGTGGTTGAAACTCTTCAATACATTCCCCAGCAGTTTATTTAATTCCAAAATACTCTGCCAGGGGCTGGGCATCAGTGCTCACACCTGTAATCCTAGCTACTCAGGAGGCAGAGATCAGGAGGATCCTGGGTCGAAGCCAGCCTGTGCAGAAAAATCAAGAGACCCTATCTTGAAAACACCCAACACAAAAAAGGGCAAACACACAAAAAAACGTAAAAAGCCAAATCCTCTGCCAGAGCTGTCCAGACTGGATCTTTCTACTTCCTCCTCCCTTGTGATCCTCTAAGCCAATGCTATAGTTGCTACAGGCACAGTTAATTCTGAGATCATGAGATTTAGTTTTCGACTGAAATGCAATATGATGCAAAAGTATATCAGAGTGCAGGTAGTAATCTAACTTATTTTTGTTGCTTTTCCTTAAAATACACCTAAGCAATTCTTCCCTTATTTACTCATATTGCTATTTAAAGTCTGTACCTTAGTCAGCATTTGGACATATCACACACTGTAATAGTGTGGGAGTCTTCATGTGCAGTGGTGGAGGGACAAAACGATGATTTTGACATCTCCTAGGATAGGAATAGGGCCTGATCAGTTGTAACCAGAACCACACTACTGTACTTGTAGTCTGATCTCCCAGAAAGCCATCCTAACTGGATGAAATGATCCACACCAAGTAGGTACACACTGAGATATACTATCAATGCACATCGACTCAGAATTCAGAACAGGCTTGTGGATGTGTGAAGAAATTAAACACAGATCATAAGGGAAATAATGGATCAATATCATTGATCATAAAAAAATCATTCTAAAACACACTAAAGGAAGTTAAACCCAGTGTAATTTTAAGATGTTAAAAAAAGAAGAGGTCAGACACAGGGCAAATTCAGTCAAGGCAAGATTCAATTACAAAGAGAAGTGACCCAGCTCTACAGACTGGGAGCCAGAGAAAAAAAACCACACACTGGAAAAAACAATGCAGTGGTCTTCTATCAATAACATGGGCTGGGCCTCAAGGATGTTCACAAAACCTGGACCTTTTAGTCTTCATGACTCCCTGCTTATGGTTTTTCTGTACCCTATAAACACAGATTCCTCATGGTGTGGGATGCTCCAGGTTCACACACAAATTCAGTGACTACAAGATTTCATAGCCAATGGACACTTACTCCCACCCTGGACGTAAGATCTCCTATGAAGACTGCATATGTAGCAGTATATTATGGTCACACTGGCGGCTTGATACTAAGAACTCTGGGGAAATGATGTTGGGTAGAAGAAAGTAACAGCCACCCCAAATAATCCCGTAAAAACAGAATGGAGATGAATTTCAAATCAGGGGGTATTATGGATAGAATTGTGTGTGAGCCCAGGAACTCAAGGTTGGTAGGTTGAAAACTCTTGAGTCATAGCCCAAGCCTATTTTTTTTAAGTTATTCTTCATGTAGGGTCTCAACTTTTGTCCAGGGAGCGAATTTCAAATCAGGGGGTATTATGGATAGAATTGTGTGTGAGCCCAGGAACTCAAGGTTGGTAGGTTGAAAACTCTTGAGTCATAGCCCAAGCCTATTTTTTTTAAGTTATTCTTCATGTAGGGTCTCAACTTTTGTCCAGGGAGCCCTGAACACGATCCTTCCACCTATGCCAATCACAGAACTAGGGTTACAGCTGGATATACCTGTGATGACACTGGGTTATTAGCTAAGATGGAGACTTGCTAACTCTGCCCAGAATGGCCTCAAATCATAATTTTCCACCCTCTACCTACCAACTAGCTAGGATTACAGGCACAAGCTACTGCTCCCTGGCCCCCACATTTCTTTCATTCTCTCAAAACCTGACTTGGAAATGAAAGATGACAACACAGTTTTGTGTTTTCTTCTGTATGAATTTTAAGAAAAACATGAACTGGACAAATATCTCAGGAATACCTTCCAAATTCAACAGTGGTTGTGGGTGCTGAAATGCACAGACCAAACATAAAACAGCTCAACAGAGTAGGTTTCATTTCTCACATGCAACAAATGGAGGGTGCTGGGCCAGGGGTGGAAAGTCCTCGGTTCTCTTCATTTCTGTCTGAAAGCACAGTGATTGAAGATACATAGGGCTCAAATCCCAAGTCCTGGAGGACTGCAAGGTCACTGTTACATTTCAGGCCTAGAAGGAATATTCATCTCTTGTGCCTTTATCTCCACAGAGAGCTGTGAACTCTTGGCCACAGAAAAAGGCAGGAAAAAGCTTGCCGTATCACAGAGAAATGTAAATGGCTCTTGGAGGACACATAGCCAGTCTCAGCCATACAGGATATTCCCTTCGTGTGAATTCTCTAATGTTTCCTGAGGTTTGATTTCTGAGAAAGATCTTCTACCTTCAAGTCTCCTCTTTTGTGAGTGGTCTGATGCCTGCTCAGATGTAATTTCCGGCCAAAGGTTTTTCCACACTGATTACACTGATAGGGCTTCTCGCCAGTGTGAATTAGCTCATGCTTGGTGAGGTTTGATTTCAGGCTAAAGGTTTTCCTACACTGATTACACTGATAGGGCTTTTCCCCAGTGTGAATTATCTCATGCACAGTGAGATATGACTTCCAGGCAAAGGTTTTGCTACACTGACTGCACTGATAGGGTTTCTCCCCAGTGTGAATTCTCTCATGACTGCTGAGTCTTGACTTCCTCCAAAAGGTTTTTCCACACTGATTACACTGATAGGGCTTCTCCCCAGTGTGAATTATCTCATGCTTTGTGAGATTTGACTTTAGGCTAAAGGTTTTCCTACACTGGTTACATTGATAGGGCCTTCCCCTAGTGTGAATTATCTCATGTCTATCAAGGGTTGACTTCAGGTGAAAGGACTTTCCACACTGACTACACTGATAGGGCTTCTCACCAGTGTGAATTATCTCATGCTTGATGAGGTTTGATTTCAGGCTAAAGGTTTTTCCACAATGATTACATTGATACGGCCCTTCCCCAGTGTGAATTATCTCATGACTGCTGAGTCTTGACTTCCTCCAAAAGGTTTTTCCACACTGATTACACTGATAGGGCTTCTCCCCAGTGTGAATTATCTCATGCTCGGCAAGGTTTGATTTCCAGCTAAAGGTTTTTCCACACTCATTACATTGATAGGGCCTTTCCCCAGTGTGAATTTTCTCATGTACATCAAGAATATACTTCAGGTGAAAGGATTTTCCACACTGACTACACTGATAGGGCTTTTCTCCCGTGTGAACCATCTTATGCCTATTGAGTTGTGACTTTGAGGCAAAGGTTTTATGACACTGACTACACTTATAGGGTTTCTCCTCAGTGTGAATCATCTGATGTGTGGTGAGGTATGACTTCCAGGCAAAGGTTTTTCCACACTGACTGCACTTGTAGGGCTTGTCCCCAGTGTGAATTATCTCATGCCTGGTGAGATTTGACTTCCGGCGAAAGGTTTTTCCACACTGATTACACTGATAGAGCTTCTCTCTACTTTGAATTCTCTCATGCTTGGTAAGGTGTGACTTCTGGACAAAGGATTTTCCATACTGATTACACTGATAGGGTTTGTCACCCACATACATTCCATTAGGCATACTAGGGCGAAGACTGTTCTGACACACATTCAACTCCTCGGGCTTCACTCCTGAAGAGACTGTATTCTTTACAATTAAATTTGAAATATGGTTGGAACTCAAATGAAAGGCATGTTGTAATATAACTCTCTTCTTGATAGTGACTCCACCTTGCCACAAATGGCTGTCTTGACTTTCCTCACAGCTCTGAATTATGACATCCACTTTCTGGACATCTAAAGTGAGAAAAAAGAAAATAGCCATATACATGATACACATCTAAGCATTTCTATGAAATGTGCATGTGCATATAAAGGAGCTTTTTCCCCTCCTACTGGCATAAGATTGCATAAAAACCACAACAGGTATTGGCTTGTAAATAGTTTTCTTCCTACTAACTTCAAGTAATAAATGATGGTGACAGATTTTGTATTGTTGAAATATTTTCCCTTGCTACTTTCATTTTATTTGCACGTGGTAGTATTTGGTTAAAATATTCACCTATAGCCTAGTCTTAGTTTTCCATGGAGTGCTTCTCCCCTGCCATTTCATTCTTCCGTTCTTTTCCTCTATTGTGGTGACAATGCTGGTGTCTCCCACTGCTGTTCTTCTCATTATTCTACTTTGAAGGGTGCTGGTATTTTCAGGACCAGAAAGTTGCTTAATACAAGTGGAATAAAAATGACTGCCACCTGAGCAGGAACATGGATTTGGTACAGCATTTGCATCTATATTTGTTTAGCTTTCATTCTTACCTGGTGAAAAACTGTATGTATCTAGGAAGTTTTTCCAATAAAAAATATCTTTCCCACAACTTCCTACAAAGCCCTAACTTAACCTCATGACTCTGTTTCTCAGAAATGTTAATTTTTTTCTTCATCCCACCACACTGGACACCCATACGTGAAGCCTACCATGTTTATACAATGATTTTCTGGCTCCTTCTAAGATCAAAAGCCCCAGCACCTTCCCACAATTCCTGGTACAAGCACCCATGCTTCACAATCGATTTCTCCTGAATGATATTATCTTGTGCACTGGACTGTCAGCTTTCTCCTACTTTCATAGAAAATGGAGTCTTCTGAACATCTCTCCTTTTCTTGTTTATAATTATATCCACTAAGAGAAGGCAGAAGAAGTGCAAACTTCAAACTCCACTCCCAAACAAAGATCTGTGAGTTTCAACAAGTACTCTTGGGATTGGCATCATGAATGTCCTGGCTCTTCCACAAATGCAGACCCATATATGTTGGATCCTCCATTTTCATGATGTCTGACCCCATGTTTAACAAGGCTAACTCTGGACTTTTCTCATTTTCTTATCAACTCCCTAGGGGAACTGCTCGTAACTTTAAATACCAGCTTAAAGCTACCAACTTCCAAATTTGTGCTTCCAAGGGTGATGTAGACAATCAAATACAGATCTTCATATTCACCTATTATGTGTAGAATTTTGAAAAAAATGTATGCCAGACAGCCCTCCTTTGAGATTATAATGCACTGTCCTCAGGTGTGCAACCTGGATGATAGCCTGGTGAAGTCACTGCAACATAGCTAACATCTGCTGGGCTCCTCTCTAATAGCCTCCCTACCCAGAATGCACTGACTCACCTGGTGGGCTCTGACTTGGGCGTTCTTTTCCCATCCAAAGTTCTGCTCCTTGCTCTAGCTTGATGATCAGCTCAGGTTTGGTCATGCATTGCCCTGTTCATGGTAAATGACGTAAGATTATGTCAAATGATTAAGTCAGTATATTTTCCCTCACTATCCCTTTCTGCAATGAAGGACATGCTCTGTATCTGTGCTGCCAGCAAGGGAGCTGATAGCCACAGTGGAGCTCAAACACTTGAACTAGGACTAGTCACACTGAGGATTCTCCATTTAAAATTTCATGTAATTTATTTTTTATTTTATTGATGTGTCAGCATATTATAGTTGTACTGGGGATAACTGTGATGTTCACAAAGTTGTTATAATAAATCCTCCCTTCCCCCCATTCTTAGAACAGTTTCAGTAGGACTCATTGTCCCATTTTCATACAGAATACGTAATACTCCCATCATATTCACCCTCCTTCACCCTTTCCTAATGCAATACCAAACCATGGACTTCTTTTACCTTCTTTCCTTCATTTTTGGAAAAAGAAATTGTTTGTTTATGATGGTTATACAGGGAGTTTCATTGTAATATTTCCATATGTATTTATGTATATGCCCTGAATTGGTTCAACCTCTCCATTTTAAGTCAGGTTCTAGGAAGCAACACAAACCCCAGGTGTGAAACTGTGCAATTAGGCAGCACATGTGATGTTTCATCAGACAGAGGTGAACAACTGAGTTCTTCATGGGCTGGAACTGTGCACCTAAATATCCTTCATATATGTACTAAGAAGTCAGCACTTGCTCCTGAGCGGTACAGGGCAGTTTCACTCACCCAAGGAAACCAGGCTGCTGTAGGTCTCCAGCATCACTTCGCTATATAGGGTCCTCTGAGCATCATCCAGATCCTGCCACTCCTCCCAGGTAAAGTCCACAGCCACGTCCTCAAAAGACACCAAAACCTGGAATGCCATATTTCTTCTCAACTCACTAGCCATTGGAAAACGGAAGTTCTGCTTCTGTATGTGGAGATGGGAGAAGGGGGAATGTTTATCTATATTTTGCAAAAAGTCCCTTTTGTTTTGCATTCTGGATGGTAAAGAAAAGTCACAGGAATATACTGCCATTGTAATAATTTATTAAGTACTAAATAGTATTAAAATATTATAACCAAGTTTACCTCACATACCTAAAACCATTCTTATACCTAGGGAATATATTATGAGCAAAAACAGCCAGTGGTAAATGGCTATAATCTCAACACTGAAGAAGATGAGATAGGAGTATTTTGAGTTCAAGGCCAACCTGGGCTACATAACAAGTTACACTGTATTAAATAAATAAATAAATAAATAAATAAATAAATAAAAATTTTACTCCTTCAAGGAACTTATGACGTGATATGAAGAAGCTATTAAATATGAATAAAAATCCACAATCTGCTAGAGGAACTGATTTACAGCTTCAGTATAAATGATGCAAGGAAGGAGAACATATACTTCTATTTTGCATGATGGCTCTACACTTCACTGAGAAGGCTAGGATGTTTAGCCATCCATTTGCAAAAAACATGTTCTCATGGACATGAGGCTACAGGAGAAGTCCACTCACAACCACACAAACACCATCCACCACATTAATGAAACTACACATGGTACCATGTTCAGGTGAATGAAACTGAACCATGATGAGAAATAAACACAATAATGAAGACACAGATTAATAATTTTATTTGTGTAAACAACCTCCAACAAGAAATTTTATGCAGTTATTCTTTTTGAATGACTTATAAACTAAAAGGATGCACACAGGCATCACAATATTTCCTTCCTATCTTCAAAGGATTGTTGGTGTTCACTCCAGGAATCTCTGCTATTTCCCAAACAAGAGGTGGAAAACATGAGGTCATGAGAACAGGCGAGCAAACTGAGCAGATGTACATTTCAACAGTCATCTCTGGGAGGAGAACTGGAAAGGCTTAGGGGAGATAAAGGCTAAGAAACCAGAGTGAGACATCAGATCACAGAGAAATAAGACTGCAGAAAATAGAGGTAACCTTCAAGGAGAAAAGAAGGGCAGGAACAGAAGTTGGTTAAGAGTTTGCTGAATGAAGATAAAAAGAGATTTTACTTCCAGATGATCTGCATGATTGCTGCTACTTAAATACAGTGCTATGACATGAATTTGGAAAATGGAAGAATTCAATAGCAGGCCTGGCACTGCTGGCTCATGCCTATAATCCTAGTTTCTCTGGAGGCACAGATCAGGAGGATCCAGGTTTGAAGCCACCCCAAAGAGTTCATGAGACACTATCTGAAAAATACTCAATGCAAAGAGACACAAGAAAACACAACCGCCCCCCAAAAAAAAGAAAAGACCTTATATTTAAAAAAAGGACTGGCTGGGAACCCAAATGGTAGAGCACCATCCTAGGAAGCACCAGGCCCTGAGTTCAAACCACAGCACTGCCAAGAAAAAAAAAAATTCAACAAAGTGACACAGACTTGAACACATAACATTTGGAATGTCTGAGACCACATTTATGGGATGCTTAACTACCAATTACATAAATGATTCTAGAGTTCAGGAGAGATGTAAGCTGAAGATAAAAAAAAAATTGGAAAGTTACAGAATTTTAGTTCTGCCTAAAGTTATCACAGTGGAGTGTCTTCTAAAGAGGATAGTAACAAGAAAATATTTTAAGGAAACTAGTATTTCCTGAGAGAGGACAAGAAATAGACTACAAAGAGCAAGAAATAATTTTGTGAGGTTTTCACAAAAGTAAAGAAAATCTCAATGTTAAAAACTCTCAGGCTTTCATGGTGGTGCCTTTTATTGCAAGATTCAGGGGGCTGAGGCAGGAGGATAATGAGTTTGAGGCCAGCCTGGGCTACACAGTGAGATCCTGTCACAGAAACAAAAAAAGAAGCTCCACTGTTGCTGTTCATTGGCAGGACCTGGGTGACCGGAGCAGAAAAAGATGAGGGGACTACTGAGTCTTGCTCAATAGCTACTTTATCAAAGAACACTTCTGCTTTTTTATAAACTCTGTTTTCACACAGAGCATTTGGTCAGAAAAAGCATGCCAAGTATTACATGTCAAGGTTACATTAGTACAAGGAAGCACAGTTAAAATTAACTCTATCTTTGTTATGTCTCTCTTAAAACGGGAACAGAGAAGCAGGAGAAGCACATGGTCAGCATGACCTTCTTATTTACATCTGAAGGACATGAAGCCATCTGGGGAACCTTGAGCACTGTTATTTTTCTGAACATCTAGTCTTGAAAACTTACACAGGCACAGTCTGGTCCTGAGACCTTTGTCTCAGTTCCTTGGAGCTTTCTCACAAGGCCAAATGCCAACCCACACAGGCATGGTCTGGTCCTGAGACTTTTGTCTCAGTTCCTTGGACTTTTCTCACAAGGCCAGATGCCAACTCAAACAGGCAAGGTCCCACTGCTGGCTCCGATATTCCCCTACAAAATTAAGTATATTTATATTCTATGGGGAAAAATTCTTTCAATGGTTCACATCGACATTGAAATGTTCTTTTTCAAATACCACCCTGGGCCTGGTTGTATACACCTGTAATCCAAGCACTAAGGAGGTGGAGACTTGAGAATCCAGAGTTTGAGGCCAGTCTGAGCTATACGAGGTGGATAAGGACAATATGAGGTAAAGAGGAATCCTGCCTCAAAAACATACAATGAATGAAAATACAAGTACCATCAGTACAGGTTTACTTAGGGTATGAAATGTCCTAAAGGACCAGGTGTGAAAGGCTAGGACCCAGCCCATGGTATGATAGGCAGGTGGTAGAATCTTTAAGAGGTCACTGAAGGTGTGCCCTGGATCAGATATTGAGACCTAGCCAATTCTTGTCTTTCTTTTGCTTCCTGGCTATGTGGTAAGCAGCTTCCTCTGCCATCAGCTTCTACCATGATGGCAACAATGTGTATAATAGACAAAGACAAGGATTTAGAATCAATAATCCAAGTTACTCCCTTAGGAAAGAATGGGGGGAAAGGAAAAATTAAAACCAGCAAAAGGAGAAAAATAATAAGAAGAGCTACAAGTGGAATCAATGATATTAAAACAGAAACTCAACAAAGAAAATCAGCAATGGAAAAACAATAGAGGACATGAGCAATTCAGATTATAATAAATACATACATGGAAATGTCACAAGGATACTCCCTGAGTAGATATCTTAAACAAAACTGACACTTTTTAATTCATTTTTAAAGTAGGAGATCCAGAGGGGAGAACAAGTCCTTCCTGGGGGGGTTGGAACCAATAGAAGGAGGGAGGAGGTGGAGAAAGGACATGGGAGGGTGAATATAGTGAAAATACTGTGCACACACGTATGTAAATGGAAAAAGGAGACCTATTGAGTGCTTAAAGGAGAATGGTGGAGGAGAATGAATTCAAATATGATATATTTGATATACTGTAAGAACTTTTGTAAATGCCACAATGCACCCCCACCCAGAACAACAATAAAAAAAAAAAAAAGAAAAAACACTACCTGTATAAAGAAAAACCACCAGCAATAAAGTTCCCAGTTATTGTGCCTCATGCCCAGCTACTTGGGAGACAGAGATGGACAGGACTGCAGTTTGAAGTCAAGCTGGGGGTGGTGGTGTCATGACACCAGCTACTTGCAAGGTTGTAGGTAGGAGGACTGCCATCTCAGGCCAACCCAGCAACCCACAAGACCCTACATGAATAGTACCTATAGCAAAAATGTTTTAGGGGAATGGTTCAAGTGGCAGAGCACATGTTGAGCACAAAGGAGACTCTGAGTTCAAACACAAGAACCATAAAAAAAAAAAATCGATAAAATCCTTCTAGTCAGGTTATGAGAAAATAAAAGAAAAAGGGCACAAAGTACTAATAACAGAAATGAAAAAGGGATATCACTACGTATTCCATGAACATTTAAAGAATAACATAGTGTGTAACTCTATGTCCACATACTCGATAGTCTACATAAAATGCAAGGATTTCATAAAAGACACAATTTATTCAAATTCACAAGTTAAAATCACACAGTGTGAACACATTTCCAATAAAAGAATTGAGAGCTAGAAGGGTGGTTCAAGAACAAGGCCCTGAGATCAAATCCTAACACCACCACACAAAAAAAGGAATTCAAAAAACAATGAATAACCTTTCAAAAACAGGAAGTAGGAGGTCCAGAGGAGTTCACTGGTAAATTCAACCATGCATTACAAAACAAGTTCTCTCAATTCCTATAATCTCTTCTAGAGAACAGAAGCATAATCAGTACTTCCTAATTTGTTCCCTAATGACAGCATTACCCTAACACCCAAACCAAACAAGGCAGGTGGAGTGGCTCAAGTGGTAGAGCACCTGCCTGCAAGCATGAGGCTCTGACTTCAAACCCAACTGCTGCCAGAAAAAAAAAATATCCAGAAAGCCTCAATATTTGAAAATCGAATACTATGCTTTGAAATACCCTCGAGTCAAAGAAGGAAATGACAACGTATTTGTGACAAATGTACACATTGTTACCAATGGCTTTCTGGAAGAGTATAGGGACCACAAGTCCTCTCCAATTCTTCCCTCTGTGTTGGAAACATGAGACTTGAACCTTGCCCAGCCTCAGTGGCTTGGTCACCCAAAGGAACATGGCAAAGGTGATGTTTGTGGACTTCAGAGGTAAGGTTCCAAGAAGTCATGCAGCTTTACTCATGCCTCTTAGAACACTAATTTTGGGGAAAGCCAGTCACCTGGTAGTACATCCTACTATCCTGTGACCTCCTTGGTGCAGAAACAAAGGGAAGAAGATGTGCTTGTGGACAGCTGCAATAAGCCCCAGCAGCACCAACGCAGAAAACAGTGATTCTCCTCAAATGCCAGTGTACACTGGGTTTTCAGATGATCCTCCCCAGTTCTTACTCCACTCCATCTGTGCCTGAGATGAACCAGGCACCAGAGTCTCCCTAAATCATGGAGCAAAGACAATAAGTGTTCCTACTCACCA